AAAAAAAAAAAAAAAAAAAAAAAACAAGGCCTCCAAGAAATATAGGATTATGTGAAAAGACCTAATCTACTCTTGAATGGTGTACCTGAATGTGACAGAGAGAATGAATCCAAGCTGGAAAACACTCTTCAGGATACTATCCAGGAGAACTTTCCGAACCTAGCAAGGCAGGCCAACATTCAAATCCTGGAAATACAGAGAACACCACAATGATATGCCTCAGGAAGAGCAATGCCAAGGCACGTAATCATCAGATTCACCAGGGTTGAAATGAAGGAAAAAATGCTAAGGGAAGCCAGAGAGAAAGATTGAGTTACCCACAAACGGAAGCCCATCAGATTCACAGTGGATCTCTCCACAGAAACCCTACAGGCCAGAAGAGAGTGGAGGCCAATATTCAGCATCCTTAAAGAAAATAACTTTCAACCCAGAATTTCATATCCAGCCAAACTAAGCTTCATAAGTGAATTAGAAATAAGATCCTTTACAGACAAGTAATTGCTGAGAGATTTTCTCACCACCAGATCTGCCTTACAAGATCTCCTGAAGGAAGCACTAAACATGGAAAGGAACAACCAGTACTGGCTACTGCAAAAACATACCAAATGGTAACGACAATTGACTCAATGAGAAAATGCATCAACTAACCGGCAAAACAACCAGCTAGTATCAAAATGGCAGGATAAAATTCACATGTAACAATATTCACCTTAAATGTAAATGGGCTAAATGTCCCAATCAAAAGACACAGACTGGCAAATTGGATAAAGAGTCAAGACCCATCAGTGCTCGGTATTCAGGAGACCCATCTCACATGCAAAGACACACACAGACTCAAAATAAAGGGATGGAGGAAGATTTACCAAGCAAATGTAGAGCAAAAATAAAGCAGGAGTTGCAATCCTAGTTTCTGATAAAATGGACTTTAAACCAATAGAAGTCAAGAGAAACAAAGAGGGGCATTACATAATGGTAAAGGGATCAATGCAACAAGAAAAGCTAACTATGCTAAATATATATGCACTCAATACAGTAGCTCCCAGATACATAAAGCAAGTTTTTAATGACCTACAAAGAGACTTAGACTCCCACACAATAATAGTGGAAAACTTTAACACTCCAATGTGAATATTAGACAGAGCAAAAAGACAGAATATTAACAAGGATATGCAAGACTTGAACTCAGATCTAGGCCATGGGGACATAATAGACATCTACAGAACTCTCCATCCCAAATCCACAGAAATATACATTCTTCTCAGCACCACATCTCACTTACTCTAAAATTGACCACATAATTGGAAGTAAATCACTCCTCAGCAAATGCAAAAGATTGTATATCATAACAGTCTCTAAGATCACACTGCAATCAAATTAGAACCCAGGATTAAGAAACTCACTCAAAACTGCATGACTAATGGAAACTAAACAACCTGCTCCTGAATGGCTACTGGATAAATAATGAAATGAAGGCAGAAATAAAGATGTTCTTGGAAACCAATGAGAATGAAGACACAATGTACCAGATTCTCTGGGACACATTTAAAGCAGTGTCCACA